ACCAACGGTAGACTTGCACTTCTTTGAAAATCAGATCTCTTATTCTTATATTACACCATCACCTCAGTCAGACGAAATGAGGACTGGATCTCGTAGCTCTGCTTCGGATTCGAGAAGGATGGGGATGAAGAAGAAGAGCAAGGACCAAGGGCATCTTATAGTGGCGAACAAAGATGGGGCGCAGGACACCGGAAGTGGAGACGACATGGATGGGATACGCTACCGGTTCACGCTGTGGAGATATAGCCGGCCATGGCGCGCTCCCTACTCAAGCGAGCGGAGGGGGGTAATAAAGGAGAGGAGAGAGGGTTCACTCGATGAGGGAGGCGTGTCGGTGGTCGTGTCCCCAAAAGAAGAAAGAAGGGATGGGGTCTGGTACAGGGACGAGGGCGAGGATCAAGAGCAGACCAGAGGCCGAGAAAAGGAGAAGCATACAATGCACGAGGACGGTGAGTGCGGCACGATGTCGAGGCCATGCGAGGATAGGGTGCTAATGGGCTCGACACCGATGGCGTCCGCGGGGCACGCGGTGACAGCGACCCGGCGTGCGTAGCGTGGTCGAGCTGGGCACAGTGCCTGGGGCTTGACATCCACTCAGGCTTTTCTCAAGCATTCCCTACTACCCAAGGCTAACTTTTCCTAGGTGTTCTTCTTTCCTTCCCTTCCTTGTCCACAATATGCGCCAAACTCTGTATGAAGTGAGATCGCAACATACATGCTTCCTCCGAAACCACCTCCTCTTATTTACTCTGAGAGAATACTATTTCAGCAACCCATTGTGGATTTCTCGTTCAAACACCCAAATATTTGTATCAAAAGTGGTATGGTGGTGTAACTTGTTAAAGGTACTTGGTCAACAACCTCGATACCAGCGCGTGGCGAGCAGCGTCACCATGTGGCAGCTGTTCCACAGAGAGGCCCCGGTTTCGTCACGACACCATAAGCTATTAACCAGGCAACTACTACCAACTTCATGGCCGAAAGGCGGTGGGGTCATAGACCACAGAATGAGGGGAGTATTGCAAGGGAAGATTCAAACAACAAGGGTTCCCTTCACAACAAGGGACAATGAATTCAAATCCAACGGCGGATTTGATTTAAAGAGATTCAAATGTTCTACTGGGACATCCACAATTAATCGATACAATGTCCTATATTATCCAATCACGACTGGTTTGCTGATATCTAGATGGCAACTTCTCTTGTAACCCACCTACCATCGCCCTTGAAAACTCTAAGCACGTTTAACGGGAATTAAGTAGATGGACGCAATAAACACAGGGAAATAAACCAAATGCATATTCCAACGGTCTTATACGGGCACATCATACAGGAATCCAGTCTACCATTCATGACACATCATTCACCTTCCCTAAGATGGACGATCTCAATAGTACGGACGAAAACAACGGCAAGAGTACAATACCGAAAGACAGCGAAGAACAACACTACTACTATGGGTACAACATCTCAAGACAACTAATCTACTTGAAACTATGCATATCCATTCCCGGGCTTGGCGGATTCTTCAACCGCCTTGGCTATGGATCTGCATCTTTTCTTAGCGATGGCTGAGTGAGAGGAATCAAGGGCTCTACTTCTGACACTTCTGAAGGTGGAGGTGCTGGCGGCACTGCAACACCGGTCCACCTTCTTTCAGGCGGGTGGATAGGGATCCCTTCCAAGATCGGGGCATCCTGCCTTTCAGTGGCTAGTGTGCTCTGCTTGGCACTAGTGATAAGATAGGCCTCCCGCAGCTGATGGACATGCTGATCTTCAGCCTCCTTCAGAGCTTTGGACATGGTAGTCTCCCGACTCTCAGCAGCTGCAGCACTAGCATGCGCCTCGGCGAGCTGCACCTGGAGGATTCGGGTGAAGATCTTAGCTTCCTCCGCCCGCCGGAGGCAGATCCTCAGTTCCAAGGCTTGCCAGTCATACTGCTCATCCAGGGCAAGAAGGTACGCGGTCAAATGCACCATGGTAGGACTATCCTCTTGCGCATCCCGCCCTTGCAAAGCCTCCATGCGAGCCCTCCATGCCCTCCGATTCCTGTCCAAAGGTGGAAAGAACCACATGGGGGTACCAGCAATGGGCTCCTCATAGATCTAACAGAGGTACCGCAAGACTTTGCAGGCCACAACCTGGTAGGTGTCGATAAAGCTAAACCCGGTTGCAGTCACACTCTAGGCTCTAGTGAGGTCGGGGAACTCCTCACTCTTCCCAATGTAGACGGTAACCTCACACCGCTCCGTGCCTTGCTCCTCATACTCATGGCCCTCATACTCAGGATGATCTTTGACTCCGAGCTTTTGCAGGGTGGCATGCAGGATTCTGGGAAAACCCTCAACGTTCAGGCAGTAACTACTAACCCAGGCACATGCCATTTCTGGCGGTGGTTGTGAGGAAGGCTAAGTGAAAAGCTAGCTCAAAGGAAAAGCTAAGCGAGGTAAAGTGCGCCGAGTGGTGGTACCAATGGCTAAGACATGCTCTGCTTATAAAGGCGGAGCGGTTTGTGGTCATGACACAGTTCAATAGGGTTCCTGCGCGTGATCACTACGAATGAATTGACCAAATTCTGCGTGTTCGAGGCAAGCGACGTGCGGTGCCATTACTGAGTAGTACGACTACAGGGCAAGGGTCCGACAAGAGCGCAGAAAAGGGGTACCAGGAGACATGGGTCACTACAGGCGTGAACCACGGGCGAACGCGAAGGACGAAGCCACAGTGCAGACCTAACTCTGGAACAGGAACGAGTATGTCATGCACAATACGACATGCGTGACACCTATGGATGGCGTATCTACCAGCAATGCGGCACTATAATGCACAAACAGGATATGCATGAATGCACGTCCTATACGTCCTTTCACTGTTGCCAACATATAGGGAAACCGTTCCCAGCTTTTTGGCACATCGTTCTCTCCCTGTTGGCGACCAGCCCCAACCACCGACCACCTCGGGAGCAATGTGCACACAAACCAAGCCGTGTCTTAGATGCATGGATGCATGTGTAAGTACAAATGTTCCTGCATGGTCGATGAATCATTTTTATCTGATGGTAAGGAGGAGAGGCATTAAATGTGTCCACTTGCTCGACTTGTTTTTATCTGATGGTAGCATGGAGGGGAGGCATTAAATGTGTCCACCTGCTTTTGACCCACCCTGCGTAGGTGAAGATGTCAAGCGCTTTTAAATTGATTGAGTGAATTTCTAGATAGCCTAGGGAATGTCCTCGGACACTGCTCGTCTCGTGCACGTAAAAATCCTAATGCTTTCCTTTTATTGTTCTAGATTAGGCCAACTATGGTAGATCAGGCCACGTATTTGATTGCTCTAGATGAACAGTATGACTGGCAGGCCTCAGAGCTGAGGAAGTGCCTCCGCCGAGCCGAGGAAGCCAAGATCTTCTCCAGGATGCTCGAAGTGCAACTCGCTGAGGCGCACGCCAATGTGGCAGCCACAGAAAGTCGTGAGACTACCACGGTGGAAGCCCTGAAGGAGGCTGAAGATCGGCACACCCAGCAGCTGGAGGATGCTTATCTGGTCACAAGGGCCAACCGTAGGACGCTTGATACAGAAAGGCGGGAACCCTTGGTGTTGGAGGGAATCCCTGTTCACCCGCCGGAAAGGAGAAACGGTGTTGCAGTACCACTAGCTCCTCCACCCTTGAAGGTATCAGAAGTAGAGTCCTTGCTTCCCCTCACTCAGCCACCACCATGAGAGGAGATGGATCCTTAGCCAGTGCAGAAGAACCAACCGAGGCCAGGAATGAAGCCGTTTGGTCCGACGAAGTAGATGAGTTGTCCTAGGGGACATGTACCCGTAGCTAGTAGTGTTTTTCATTGCCATCCTCTAGTGTTGTAATCTTTCCATTGTATTTCAGCCATAGATGTTAAGAATCGTCGGGTCGTAGGAGCCAAACGATGTGTCGAGAATGGGAGAGGGAGTGCCTGTATGTTGTACTCGTATAAGGGTGTTTTGGACGTGCATTTTGCTTATCCGTTGTGGTTGTTATGTCGATTTACCCTTAGACCTCGTTAGACTTACTTAGGGTTCTCGAGGCAAAAAACAAACGGGTTACAAGAAAAACAACCATTCAGATGCAGGCAGACCAGCTATGATTGGAAATGAATCGCAAAGGAGGTAACAAATTAAAGCCTCCTTTTCACAAATTAAAGACCTCCCACTAACATAGTGTAGGCTTTCATTTTCAAGTTGTATGTTTGACCTAAGACCGCATGCAAATTAAAGCCATGCGCACCGCTAGTGGCCACTCACCCGCGCTCCTTTTCTCGCACACTGGTGCCGTCCTCTGAGCGTCATGCCGCTGTCTCTTCTGCACCGCCATCCACCGCACGTCGCACCACCACCCGTGATGACACTCACAGCGTCTTTTGCAATTTCAGCCTACTAAAGAAGGTTTGTTCTGAATGAGAATTGAGAAGGCCGCAAGTTTTCAGTGTGTCCAGTAGCACAAATCAAGGCCATGATATATGAACCCTATTTTCTTTTGGCTTCCTTCTTGTTTAGCCTTAGATTTACGTGTACTTCCACTTATCCTACATTTTATCACGATTATGCAGTAGATTGTATGTAGGGTATTAGTTCTAGTAGGAATCTTGACAAGCTGCTTTAGAAAATAGCTGGAAGCCTGGAACCAAAAGAGCAGAGCACAACGTACAGAGTCAAATAACCATCACAGTGCTGCTGGATATTCATCAATCGAGTGCCGTTCTACACCAGTTTAGTACCAACTCTGTCACATCCGGTATTGCTGCATCATCGACCCAGTCAACACAAACAGCTCAATGTTTTACAGTTCTCTGAGATTCAGAAACTAAGAGGAGGAAGCCCTCTAGCATGTCTACTGTTGGTAGTTCAGGCTAAGCAAGAGCCTTCTAAGTACTAATTAAGTTCTTGCCTAATATCAGTTTTCTGCTCACTTGGTTGCCAGAAATTACAATATCTCGCCATGGCAATACTGTTGTATGCACTTACAGTCAGAGAACAACCGCTAAGCAGTAGCATGTCTTGCCAATCGACTTCAACCCCGTAGTCACCCAACCACACCCTTCCTTGTAGCGTTCTATCTGACAAAGCACCATCACAACAATGCTTAACTGTTAGCCATGGCGCGTACTTGACAAGTATTGTATGCAGAAAAAACGACAACGACCAAAACAACGTACTTAAGGAAACCAAAGAATTCATGTTCACTTGTTCAGATAAAATGCACTAGACAGTGACATGACAACAAAATGGTATATGCAGTAGGGACAGAAAAGCAAAATAATAAAAACAAGTGCCTAAGGACCCTAGAATATGTGCTCATCTCAAATGCAGTACACTTTCATGCCGAGACTGGTATGATAACAAACAACATATGCAGTTGATGTAGGCCGACCCTTGACAAATACCAGTTCAGTGACTGCCTCACTATCAAGCCCTGGCAACTAAACGCAAGATTTTGGATGTATGATTTTTGGTTCCAGCTTAGTTGAATTATTAACAGCCAAATGAACATGATAAAAAATCTGTCATTTGGTGTTGCTACTTACCACATCCAAGATTGTATCTGCTTCACCTTTCACCCCACCAAAGGTGAATATTGAGCCACCGAGCATAGCTGAAGAATGATATCCTCTGGTGTAGTTCATGGGTTCAACCATCATCCATGACGGCATCCTTGGCTCGCACACCTCAACAGTAGCCACCATTGCTTTAGGCCAGTGTCGTATCCACCAATCGAGAATCTGGAAGAAAATACAAAGGCAAATTATGTCAACAAAGGATAGTATACACCCTGATGCCCCCCTCATTTTCTGGGCACGCGTTATATATATAGCATTTTTTCAGAAGGCACATCGTACATATCTTCAATTCATTGTTTCGACATAAAAAGAAAGAGTTACATGACTTACATCTTCTCATCAAGCACTGTAAGTGTATGACAGCCCCTTCCTGCACTCATCCTTGGTAGCATTTTCCAGTTAGGCTCCCGAGGATCAAGTCTTTCAGCAGTGCTGCCAATACACATCACAAAGTTAGCAGAATAGTTTTCTTGTTGTTCCTCTCACTTCAAATACCACTGCCATTATAGCAACAAAGAATATGCTAATGAACATTTACGAAATAATTCAGTTTATTTAGATTTGCACTAAACCATAGGCCAGCGCATGAGGTTTAACTAACTATTTTGAGATGTCTGGAGGTTTTATGAGCTGTTGTATTTCCACCAGATCAAAACTAAACCAATCAAGTACTAAGTACAGGCAGGAAAGCACATCACCTCAGATATTCAACACCATTGAAGCCACCAACAGCATAAATCACACCATTTAGTGCTACACCAGCTAGAGCTAAGCGCTGAAGAACAGTGCGACAAAGATGGTCAAGCTAGAGAGTTTATCATATTATGTGGAGATTTGTGTCAGAAGCAAATATTTTCCCAAAAAGGCCAGTACATCAAATTGAAATGGAACCAGGAACTGTTTTTCTTCACTGTAGAATTACACAGTTTTCATGAGTAAATGGTTATTATTTCCCAAGCTGTTTGTGTCTTAGGCAGATTTATGCATGTTCCACCAAGTCTAAGGCTTCAGTAATGTATGAGAAAAAAAGTTTTCACATTCTAGAACAAATGAACAGTAGAAACTGATACCTTTTCCAGCATAGGCTGATTTTTTATCCACTTGCCATGAGTAGGATCAAACATCTCAACATCAGAGAAACACTTAGTTCCATCTCCACCACCAAATGCATAGATTCTCCCATTGACACTAACCCCAGCAAGGCTCCACTTGTCACGAGTCAACGATGGGCATGTGGACCAATCACCACGGCTTCGGTCATAACAGGCAACTACATCCAAAAGATAAATGCAGAATCAGGACAGAGATTGAAATACGAGAGCTCAAGAGGGAACTAAACTTAGAAGCCAAGTAGTAACCTGTATCAAACCAGCAAACACCATCACCACCACCGAGAACAAATATCTTGCCCTCTAGTGCAACAGTTGAGGTATATGACTTGCCAAAAGCCATTGGTTTGAGGGGTGTTACTACGTCCAATGAAGGGGAAAAAGAGTCTAGTGATGGCACAAATGAGAAGCCATCAAAACCACCAACTAGATAAATGACATCTTCTGAACCCAAGCATTGTTCTACAAACTGGTTAAGCGAATCATCTAGGGTCAAAGGATCTATTTTAGAATTCAATGTTTTAACTATTCCCTCTAGTACAACAATTCTTTTCAGTAATCTCTCATTCACCCCTTGTAAATGTTTGACTTCTTTGTTGGACCAAGCCTGCATTTTGAACATAAATTAGGTTTAACTACCAAAACTTTTTGCCAACAAATGAGATGTTTTTCCATACTTTGGGCTTGCATCCTTTTTCTCTACTTCCATATTGAAAGAGTGAGGTTGAACAATCGATCATAGAGGATCCTAGCTGAAAGATTGATTAGAAACTAAGCAGATGCGAGACTGATTTAGAAGCATAATGGAAAAATCTTTTCATTTCATCCTGCCTTGTTTCTTCCATGTCTTTAGGTAGCCATGAACCAAAGACACTACAAGCTTCTTATGGATTCTCCCTGTTAGTGCCGCATAACAAATTTAGCCACTCTAGAGTGCAAAATTTAGCTATTCCAATCCTACACGCATGCAGTCTACTATCATCGGTATAATAATATACAAAAAATTACTCAACATAATGTCGCCTGCTTTATTCTCCTGGTTCCTACATTGCCATGCTAAGTTATCAACACATCTATTCAAAGTGCAATTTCTGGTTTATTTTTTTGCATATAACATTCCCACAAATTTAAGATTGCATGGTTCGGTTTAACAGATGCAAGGCTTCTCATGAGGTTATAGCATAAAGACGAGACCTGCTTCTTCTCCATCACCTCTATTCGTCCAGATAACTATAGCAATCATCTGCAACCAGAATTAGTGTGAGAAACAACGAGGACACGAATTGACCAACAGAGGAAAAAAACACAAAACAAGGCTCATAGATCTGCTGCCACAAAGAGAAGGTCCATCGATGCACACACGGCCCAAAGATCGAGGATCTGAGAGGACCCCAAATCAGATGGAAAAACAAATCAATACTCCACCTGATCTAGAACCAAGAGGAGAGAAAAAGAACATTCCGTCGGGAGAGGAGAAAAGTGAAAAGGTCGAGACCTTCTAAGAGCTTGCGGCTCCTCAAGATCGACCCTCGGATCCGACCACTCTGCCTTGCCCCGGTAGGAGGCAAGGCTATGCAGGCGGTGCCACAACAGTGGAGGACGACATCGAGTAGGTGCGGCCAGCCCGACGCGGATAGCACGGTGGCAAAGCCTCGGCAGTTGGGAGCGGACGAGAGCTGCACTGCTGGCGACGCAACGCAGATGCTACGCCGAACCTTTGGTGCTGCTGCTAGTGGTGGTGGAACGCCTCCCCTTGCACGGCCTTACATGACACACTGGGGCGATGGTGCGGCTCTCCACGCCATGCTCGACCTCCATGGATGTGCGGCGTCGTAATGATTAATAGGGTAGCAAGGAATCAAACAATTAAAAAATTTCCCCACCTTCTAGAACAGATCCTCCACCTCCCTCTCCCGGATGTCGCCGGGGAAGTTGCCGACGTAGATCGTGTGGCTCCAGCGCCTACTCATCCTTCACCGCTGACCTACCAACAAAGCAAGAAGGGAAGAATTAATCAACAAATCAGCCCCTTGCGCTGCGTCCGCGTCGCATCCGCATCTCACGCAACACGACATGACCCCCACAAGAAAACAAATCTAGAAGGCAGCGGGGCACGAACCACCCGAGGAGCGATGAGGAAAGGAGATTCGTACCTGAACAGTTGTGTGGCGAGAGGGAGATAGAGGTCGAGGCTAGGGTTCCGCTGTTGCGACTCTCGGCCCTTCCATCTGCAGAACGCGAGGCCGTCGGCTGCCAGACCGACTGCCGCTTGATCACATCAAAGAAAACCAAATCTTTGAAAGCACGGGTATTGTGAAGATGCGAGAGAAGAACAACGAGGACGGTGGTGTGATACCGACTGGGCGAGTTCAAACCTAGCTGCCGGTGATGACCTCACCGGCACCGGCACCGGATCTGGTGGGTAGATCGACGGACACTGGGGACGAAGTCACCGGAGCAGCGCCGGGGAGAGCAGGGGCTCAGACGCCGCCATGGCCATGGCGTTGGACGGTGACGATGGCGCCCGTGTCGGGGACGCCGCTGCGCGCCGCCTATTGTGGTGCGGGAGCCTCGCGGTCGCGACAAGGAGCGAGGGAGAGGCGGAGCAAGCGCTGGAGAGGGCGCACCGCCGGTGCAGGCGATGGGGAGGGGTGGCGTTGTGAGAGGCGGAGCAGCGGCGTAGGGGAAGGAAGAGGGCAGGGCGACAACCACGGAGGAGACGACGGGACGCCGATTGGAGGGGACGAGATATTTTTTCTACGGACAGCCGGTTATCCCATGAAGAAGCAAGTGAAGTAAGCAAGCAAGTGAGTGTCGGCAGCTTTTGCATGCATGCAAGGAAGGGCCCAGCGACATGCGAGGATGCATGCCGACCACCCGCACCGATGTCGAGAATCTCTCGTCCTCTGCTACCGTCCATCCTCATCTATCTCATCTGAGCCGTGGAATTTCGATCTAACACACCAAATTAAAAGAACTGACGTGGACATCCTAGAAGGCCGCCGATTCGGCGTGCCTTCATATCTTAAATACAATTGCTTCCTGGCTTCCTGCTATGTCTAGTTGAAGACAGACCCACATATGTTGCTGATCCTCACTCGCTGGGGTAATAACTGGGAAGCATCTTGTGCCGGCTATTCAGCATACCCCATCTTCACAGAGTCCTATTGCTCCTGCTGCTCCAATACTTCTTGCTCAGGATACACACCAAGTGCGGATAGAGAATGTTCCCACGCTGGCTAAAGAGCAGCAGGTTACTCAGTGTCTTGTTATTCCTACTGCTCCTATGTTGATATTGTTAAGTAATCTGCTGCCCCCTTGTGTGAACGCACGGTAGGGGAAGGCGGTGCTGAAAAGGCTCCCTACTGTGGTACTGTAGCCATAGCAAGGGCAGGCGCCGAACGGCTCTCCTGCCGTACTGTAGCCACAGCAGGGGCAGGCGTCAAAGTCAACCCTGCTATAACATTTAGTCACTGTAGCAGCATGGCGGCCTGACATGTCTGTGTACTAGGATTAGATGGGTAGAGTTGTATATATAGTTTGTCACTACAACTCAGTAAAGAGAGCGAGTTCAGTTTTGTCATCTCATCTGCAGAGCTCCAGCCAACGTTGGTGCTTGTGCTGTATGTGTGCTCTGTTCTCCCTCCCTTCTTCTACCTTTAGCCATAGTGTGTGGTCGCCAACAATAGTGTCGTGGTCGGCAACGCTGGTGAGTAGTCGGCTCACCCGTGCGGGAGATCAAGGGGCAAACAAGTGGTATTGGAGCCGTATAAGTGTCGTCGCTGGACTAACCGCTGGCGTTGACGGACGGTTTGGAGATGGGCGACAGCAGCGGTGCTGCTGTGGCTACCCAACCACGATAGGAGGTCATTGTGCGCATGGTGCGGGAGGTCAGCAGCATTAGTTGGACGACGCTGACTCGCACCAACTATGGCGAGTGGGTGGTGACCACGAAGGTCAAGCTCAGAGCTCGACGACTCTAGAATGCTATTGATAAGGGCACTGACAACGAAGAAGACGACATGTCAGCATTGGAGGCTATCCTCGCTGCTGTGCCAGCGGAGTACAGGGAGTCGTTGGGGGCGAAGAGCTCTGCTAAGGAGGCGTGGGAGGCCATTGTGGCGATGCGTGTCGGTTCCGACTGCGCAAAGAAGGCGACGGCCCAGCTGCTGAAGCAGGAGTACACCAACCTCAAGTTCAAGGATGGTGAATCGGTGGAGGACTTCTCCCTCCGCCTGCAGACACTCATTAGCAAGCTGAGGAGCCACGGTTTTACCGTCGACGAAGAAGAGGCAGTCTCCAAGTACCTCCACTCCGTGCCGATAAAGTACATCAAGATCGCTCTCTCCATAGAGACAATGATGGACCTGTCCTCCCTCACCATTGAGGATGTGACTGGTCATCTACGGGTGGTGGATGAGCGCATGGAGTAGGCCATAGCAACGAAGGACAGCGGCAAGCTGCTGCTGACAGAGGAGGAGTGGGCTGCTCAGAGGAACTCTGGGGTAGCCTCCTCCAACCACGGTGGTGATGGCAAGCGCCATGGTAAAGCTTCTTCGGAGAAGAAGAAGAAGGTCGACCCCAACACCTGCCGGCGCTATGGGAAGACGGGCCATTGGGCAAAGGAGTGCCCAAATTGCAAGCAGGAGAAGAAGGCTGAGGCTCATCTGGCGCAGGCTGATGATGATTATGAAGCCACTCTCCTGATGGCGACGTTCTGTGCACTGCACGATGTTGAGACCAAGGAGAAGAGAGAGGTGATGATGGTGAAAGGGCCTGGGAAGGCTCTGAAAGCTATCTACCTCGATGAACCCCACGCCCAAGTCCACCTCGGACGTGTGGGCGGCGAGCAAGAGCAGCGGTGGAACCTGGACTCTGGCGCCAGCAAGCACATGACGGGCTCCAAGGCAGCCTTCTCTGAGGTCGACGACGACGTGACCGGCACGGTGAAGTTTGGTGACGGCTCAAGGGTGGCGATCCGAGGGCGTGGCACCATCATCTTCAGGTACTAGAACGGCGAGCACCGTGCGCTAACAGATGTATATTACATCCCGTAGTTACATTCAAGCATCATCAGCATTGGCCAGCTGGATGAGTGCTGTAGCGAGGTACTGATCAAGAACGATGTCCTCAGGATCAGGGACCAGAAGCAGCGCCTTCTTGCCAAGGTGAAGAGGTCCCGAAACCGGCTGTACCTGCTCGACTTGAAGGTGGAGCAGCCGATGTGCCTGGCAGCACGACACACCGAGGAGCCGTGGCTGTGGCATGCCTGGTTCGGCCATCTCAGCTTCGACACGCTTGGTCGGCTGGAGAAGATGGTCCGAGAGTTGCCCCACATCAAGC